GTGATTGGCCAGCTGTGTATTCGGGGCATAGCTTAGCGAGGGGTCAATGCCGCTGACAGGCTCAAGTTGTTGTTAGAAGTGTCTGACAACCTTCTGGAAAGGATCCCTACAGAGTCGGGCCTTTTTATAAAGATCCTTTTCGTTTAACCAGAAACAGACACTATGTCGGTCTAGTCAAAGCCACCAGACACCATTGACAAAAACAGTCTTTTTACTCCTCACGTCTCCCGCTGCCTCCATCGGTTAGTTTGTGTTGACTTCACATCCCGCAGGAACCAGTTTTTCCGTTAAGTGACTTCATTATTGTTTGTTTTTTATAATTCTTTTGCTGTATTGTTTTATGTGTTGACTGAAAACAGTCTGATGGTGCTCATCTGGTGCGTTCAGGGACTGGTGGGAAAACTGATGTTGAAGGCTTCCACCTTAACGCTGTTTGATCAGAAAATCAACTTCTGACGTCAAATATGAACATCTTAGAAAAGGATGATGTGTATTCGGCTGCTTCCTTCTCCATAAATCCTGCTGCAACACTAAGGCTTCAAAGTAGGAAACTGAGCCTCCTGACTTTTTAAGTCCTGATGAATCATTCCTCTGGAAGATCTTACAGTCACCAAGAGTAAACTAGCTGTGTGTTTGGTTTTCTGCCAACTTTAATTAAGTTTACGCTGACATTCGGGTGAGCAGATGATACATTTGCAGTTTAATTTTAATGTGTTTTAAATTTAATTTCCTGTCTGAAGCGGCTGGACATATTTCAGAAGAAAAAAGCTTTAATGATTAAAAACTTAAACATTCAAATACATTTTCCAGGATGATAAATACTGACGTTAAGCTCCAGGTGTGTCTCATGGGGGCGCCGGGATCCTCATTGTTTTACATCTCATTGGAAATTTGTCTTTCCTCTTTGCATTTTCTGCTTCTCAAAACACAAACTATAAAAAGAAAGTGGCAAAGGGCAGAGGTTAAACTGTTTGACCTGATTTAACCCACCGCTGTCTATCAAACAACATAATCTCCGTCATCTAATGAGCTCTAATACATACAAACACACAGAGAAACACGCAGATCCATTACGGATGAAATGTTCTGGATTAAATAAAACAAGAGGATGTTTGTAATCCTGAACCTCGTCTGACCTCGACTGCGTCCAGAAACCACAGATTAGACCCGATGCGTTCACGGAGAACAATAAAAGCACCACAGTTTCTCTCGTCACTGATGCTGTGGTGAAATACTAAAACAGAAATCTCTCTCTGGCACGTCTGCCTGGCCACGTTTAAAGACATATTTGAATGGATTTGTTTTTTCTCTGGCCCCCCCCGTGGCCTTTGGCACCGCTGACCACTGTAAGCTCAAACTGACCGCGAGCCAATCAAAACAAAGCCTAACATCCACATTGAGACGATAACAAAACTGACCTACTGTGACTCCAGCTCTCAAATCTTTGCGCTGGTTTCTTTTGAGTCAAATTGATTTTAATATATACAGTTGGTTTATGAAGCACTGAATGGTAAGTCTGACACTGTGGGACTCAAAATCAAGACAACAGCTGACGACCTTCTGAGCCTCAGTGATGTCAATGAATATACCGGTGCATCTCAAAAAAATTTATATCGTGGAAAAGTTCATAGTGAGCATCTGGAAGCTGGCAAGAGATTAAAGGCTCAGGAAAGCTTTGCGAGCGATTTGGGGTAATTAGCTGATTAGAGCTCTTCTCATGTTGACATTTCTGTTTTATAAAGTCTTCATTCTGAAATTAAAATACCTTTTGAGATACTGGAGTTTTCATTTCCATGAGCTGTATGGTGTAATCATCAAGATTAAACCAAAAAAAGGCTCGACATATTTCACTTTATGTGTAAAGACTCTAAAATTAATGAAAGATTCACTTTTTGAATTAAATCAAAGAAGAAAATAAACTTTTCCATACACCTTTTATATTTATTGTTATTCTCTTAATTTATTAATCATGATCTAACGTTTGAAAAACGTAGTTCCAAAAATTCTTTCGGGAATATAAACAGGAAGTATAATGAGTCTGTTTTTAATTAATTGGCACAAATAAAGGTACGCCGGATAAACTGTTATCGCTTCCTGTTTGCAGTTTACCCACAGATGTACAGACAACTCTCACTGGATCACTTTGATACTGAAGAAACGTAAGAAACGTAAAAACGTGGTGATTCTCACGGAAGTTCTGAAGCAACTTTTGTTCCTATGATTTCCAAGAAGATTTATAGACGATATCTCTGGAAAGTGTAAATTACACTGAATCGACAAATGACTCTAAGAAGGAGTGTGATTTCTGACGCAAACTGGAGATGTGCTCCATCTCAGTTATTTCAACTCGGGGATTAAGATCTGTTAGTTAAAAACTCTTTTTACTTTACATTTCTTGTGACCACACTGCTCAGAACAAGAAGAATCAGTCTCCAGAATAAATCTGGGACACAACGGTAACAAGGAGACGTATGGAAATAATCAACTTCTGTTACTGAGATCCATCTTTCCCTGTCAGTTCTTCAGTTTTTCCTCCTTAAAAAAGAAAAGGCCACCGCATGAAAGGAGAGGAACGGACGCAAGTGAGCTCTGATTTTGTGGTTTATAAACGTCTACATTTTACGCCATTTTAGTGATTATATTTCAACGTGCAGACAGTTTTTAAAATGTTGAAAGAAGGGTCATCTCAACATCTTTTCACCTTGAAACCACCAGACTGATGCTCACTGGTCACTGAAGAAGTGATGCAGCAGCCTGAAAAATCCACCTGTCAGAAGCAACACACATACACGGATCCCATCTAAGGAGTGGTGGAACATATCCCAGCATGCATTGGGTGAGAGTTGAAACCCCTTACATATTGATTTAGAGATGTCATCAACTATTGATTTCTATATTTCTATTTATTTAGTGTGTTTTTTGAACCGGGTGTGTGTGTCCTTAATAAAAGCTTTGGTACACGTCTTGTTTTAAAACAGCGGGAACGTCTTTCACCTGCGTATCACTAAATCAGTGCTCACTGGAACGTGAAGAGGACATTTAAACTCCGCTATAAAACGCCCCCCAGCTGAACTCTTAAGAGGCTGCAAAGAGGAATAACTCAGCTGCAAGTAATAGCCCGACTTGAGCAAATCAAATTACGCCGCTTCTCAGTGCCAACACACAGAAAGTGAATCAACCTGTCTCCTAACCGGCAGCGAGTTGAGTGATCTCCTCGTCTCTCGCTCCTCTTTAAAAGCCTTTTAACAGATCAGCTGGGTTGGTCAACATGAGAGCGGCGTACTGACTCTGCAGGACTTTTAAACAGACAAGACAATATGTACATTAAAAACACAAAACTAGGATTAAATCAGCCCATCGCAGCTTAGCTTCAATAATCACAGGTAGGATGTTTGGCTCACTTATTTTTAAGTAAATATCCTGTATAATCTCTATATTTAGCACAGTAAGTGTCAAACTGATAGTTTTCATATTTAACGTCATGTTCCTGTAGCCTCAGATAACAGCAGGACTCTGCTCTCCAGTAAGATATATGAAGCAGAAGTCATTAACCTTTAGCATAAGTAAATACACAACTACTGTAACACACACTACTGTAACACACAGACAGCCGAGAAATTTATTTTATGATTACGAATGTCTGACGTGAAATTTACGTCTCAGAAAGTAGCAACGCCGTCACAGTCTGAATCCTTTTTGTTTTTAAGTCAGTTTCAGCTGGAAAATGTTCCCTCTATGCGACGTTAAAGGCATTTTGAGGGACAATCTTGCCTCTTAAAGTCATTAAAAACTCTGTGCAGCCAAATTCTGTTCAGACTTATTTAAATTTCCAACGGAGCTCCTAAAATGTTCAAAGACACCAAACGCATCAGGCTGAATTTAGGAGGAAATGTGTACAAACTTAATGGAACAAATACTTTTTCTTTCAAACCTTAAAGCTACTTAAAGGAGAAACATAAAGGGAAAAGATGTGGAGGGGTAAGTAAAAGAGTCAATAATCACCTAAAATCAATGCATAAGACTGGAAGAACATTCAGAAGCAAAAAAACTAAATCTTGTCCGTTTATTCTTTTTATGTTTTTGATGCTTTCAACTGTTTTTTTTATGTCTGCAAAACCTGTAGAAAAGCCTAGACAAGCTGTGAATTTAAATTATCAGTTTAAAAATGCAGGTTTTCTAACTTTAAATGAAGCTTTTCTGCATGTAAATATACATAAAAAGTCTGGGGTAAAAGCTACAGATAAGACAGCTGTGAAAAGTCTGCTTTTTCTTTTCAGACTGAAACTTGACATGAGTCACTTTGAGTGGATTTCTGGCACACTGAGGTCACCTTTACAACATTTCTACTTCAGTAACAAATGAGTTAATCATCCACTTGAGTTGTCTGCATCCAAACCCACTAAGGAACAGTCCAACACTCAAAGCTTCACTGAAAGATGATAACATCTGTAAGTGAAGGTCCAGGCTGCAGAGTCTAAGTATAGAGACCAGCACTGTGTGAACAGACCACCTGAGTATTAAAAATTAATCAGTAGTAGCCAGTAAATGAATCAATAATTAATTGATTTTCATACAGTGGAAGAGTAAAAGAGTAGTGAGATGCAGAAAGTAAGTTGATCAGTGGTGATTTACAGTTCAATCAGCAATGAGACTGAAAGCAGCAGAGCAGATGTTTATATGATGAAAATAAAACACACTTAAAAAAGGTAGAAATGTAAAAGTGTAAGTGTGTCAGTAGGAATATTAGGGGTAATAAAGACAAATCAAGTAGAATAAAGGTCACAAAAGACCGCTGTGTGACTATTCTAGGAATACTAGATGGCCTAATTACGCTTTTAAGCCAATTAAAACTAAAGATTTAGCGCCACAAGAGATTAGCATGTGGAGTAATGTTGCAGAAAGAATTCAAATAAACACCAATATAAACACCTCCTATTAATTTTTAATAAAATGATCACATTAAGCCTGGTAATAATAATCACAATGAGTAAGGTACTGACCGTGTGGATGAAGGTGAAGCCGAGCAGGAACAGAGCGAGCCGGTGCGTAAAGGACATGGTCACATCTCCTCCCGCGGAGCGTTAAAGCCACCTGAACAGCAGCTCGGCGCTCATCTGACTGACATCCTCAGCAGCAGGAAACGCGTGCAGGTGAGCTGCTATCAAGTTTGTGGTTTTATTGCGCAAAACGTCGCAAATGTCAATCAGTTTTTTGGCACGTTGGTCAGCAGCTTTACGCACGGATTCATTCGGACCTCTCCGAGGCTCATAAAAAAAGGGTGAAATGTCCCCCCCCCCCCCCCCCCAAAAAAACGTGCTGACAATCAAAGGAGCAACTAAAAAAAATACTAAATTCACACCTGAAACAGTCCAAACAGTCACGAGCTGGTTCCTGTTCTTAGTAAAACTGCTGGACAGACGGTGTGTTGTGATGAGTCCAGTGTGCGGACTCACAGTGACGCGGTGCGGTTCACTCCCTGCTCACTTTCACAGTGCGCGTCCCCGTCACATGTCGTCCCTCAGGGCACCCCGGGCTGATGCGCGCTCACGCGGACCTGAAGGAGCTGAAGGAGCTTCACGAGTGTGTGTTAAGGTGAAAAACCAACAGCGACCTCGCGTGGCTGAACTCAGAACTCCTGTCGGTAAAAATAGTTTCCAACCGCTGGTCCAGAGGCCCTCAGAGGGCCCTCAAGTTGGGCTCCTGCGGTCCCCACAACAAATACCTATATATCTATTAACCACAAAAGAATGAAAAACAATAACTTAAATTATCCAGGATGGACAGACTAAAACTTCCTAATGAGAGATTGTCCTCCAAAATATTCATGCACAGTTTTTCTTTTGCTTCTGGGATGCATCATTACTTCTTTTGCTTTATTTTAACACATTTAACAAAGTATTTGGCATTTTGAGGTTTGCAATTCAGCTGTTTGCTTCTTCATTCAGTTTTAATGTGAAATAAAGTTAGATGCATAACCAAACCAACAGAATACAAATATGTCTAATGGGTTTTAATAATACAACATGAACAATATACAGTATAATATATAAACATAACCTGGTGGAAAAGAAACTTTAGTAAAGTGTCTGAATACTTGCTCCTGAAATGAGTTTTCAACAGTTCTCTTGTGGTAATAAATTCTCCTTCGCCTGTTTGTGTGATTATTAAAGAATGAACATCTTGTGCTCGAGGAAATGAGGCAGGAAAAGAAACTCCGTCCATCAGCTGAAACCATCGACTGACCCCCACAGCTCATTTAGTCATTTATGAGTCTAAACACATAAACTGGAATCAGGAATGCTTTTACAGCAGAGTCACAGTCTGATCAGACCGAACCAGAGAGGAAATCAGAGCCAGAGATTAGAGTAAAAAGGGGGATACTGGTTTGTATTTATACCTAAAAGTTAAACATTCAGACTTTAAAGAAGCTGAACATTTTACAGAGTTTTATTTCTGTCTGTTTACCCGTTTATCGCTCTTTTCTGAGCAGTCGCTGTAAATAGTTGTTTGCACGTGTAAACTCTGCTTTTACTTGTGTGCATTTTCTGTTTACAGCAAATTAAAAATAGCAAGAGAGAGGACGCTGGACATGAAGCCAATAAAACCAGTCTGACTCTGGAAAAATGGGAGATGAAAGGAAACTTGTAACTCTGCTTTGGGGAAAAGTTATTAAACATATTTGCCATTAAATTCAGATAAATATTTGTTAAAGCTCTTATCAGGTCTTCGGTGTTGAAAAGCATCTTAACTTTGTTGTCTTTACTTTTGGCCTTTTCATGATCTTAACTTTTTGTGCACGTGTTCATATATCATCTTGTCTTTCTTTTTTCCGTCCCGTAACAAACTGTGCAAATACTGCTTTGAAAAGTGCTACAAGAGTAAAGTTGGTATAAGAAGCTCGCCTCCATTTAGTGACTGTTCTGGAGCTTTCAAGCATATCACATGATCCTCAACTGTAGATATTCAAATGTTTTACTTAACATTTACACACAAGTCAAACTTTTACTTACATTAGATAATTTTTAAAATTAATTTTATAATTATTTAAATTATAATTTATTTATTAAAAATGTAAATATAAATAATATAGATATTTATTTATTTTAATATAATTTATTTATAAAATTTATAATGTATTTTTTTTTTTGTCTTTGCTTTACCTAATTTTCCTAATTAACTATTGCTTTGACTTAAATATGTGTATGTAGTGTATACATAATATATAATTTCAATGGCTGAATAACTGCTTTTTACAAACAGAGTCGCAGTTTATTTTCTCTAGAGCACAAGTTATTATTCTCACAAGAAAACAAAAAAACTAAACTAAATCTGACCCTTGTTTTTCTAAATGAAGACTATGTTTCCCAACAATTTCTGCTGCCTTGCTGCTAATCAATTCATAATAATACAATTGCTCCTGAAAAGTGCCAGCTTTTTAGTTCCCATGAAAACAAAAAACGTGTGATGATAAGACGTTTGTCCTGAAAGAAAAGATCGACATGTCTTCACATTCAAGAAGACATCAACAGCCTGAAGACAGAAACTTTGGTCAGTTATGTTTTCACAAGCAGGAATCCGCTGACAGGAGAAGGACTGAGGGAGAGACAGGAGAGGAAGACGCTAAGCTTTTTCTGTACGACTGAAATCTTATTAAAGTCAGACTGACTGCTGAAGATCTCGTGGGGATAAAGACGCAAATCATTTTGGACTAAGACATCTTTTCATGAGATGACTGCACCTGATTGAACTGGAGGAACTTGAATAGAGGACGAAGGATCAATATTGGCCTTTAAGAATCCATGGTGTTGATGAAGGGATTAATGCGGTTAGACCGTCTCAGCCTTCAGACCTGATTCTGCGTTAATGAGCATTTGAAAGGCAACAAAAGAGAAGCGGGAGATAACAGCAGCAGCGCAGGGTCATAAAGACGGAACATCGTCAGAAAGCAGAGCTGGAATGAACTTTAACTAATGGCTTTAAATCTAGGCCTTTAATTCCTGTCCCACAAAACTCCTGCTCTGCAAATATGGGAAATAATAAATATCTAAATATAAATTCAATAGTGATAGTGAACTATTTAATCATTTATTTAAACCGGAGTCAATATTACTTGCATCGATCTACCTCCGAGACACAGCATCTGATCCAACCTCAAACACCGGTAATGAAAGGAAAAAGCCAACTTGGATTTATTTTTATGAAAAATCCTTTTGATTATTTTGATCAGTGGACCCTTACAGACTAAAGGAATTATAATAATAAAGGAACGGCCACATGTTGGGACTAAAAACCTGCTTAAAAGTTTACCATGCCGGTGAATCTGAGTGAATTATACTTTGGTGCTCATTGTTTCTTTAAAATGACTGAAATCCAAATCCAAAGTTTAAACATTTATATTTGTATGCACCATCAGCTGAGACTAGTGACCTGGTGGGCTTATATATAGCGAGAACTTAAAAACCAGACCAGGGCCGGTTTCACAAAGATAGACTTTGACTATGGCTTAGACATAGAAAGTCAGACTCTAGACATCTAAAATCAGACCGTTGCACAAAGCACTGGAGACCCGACTCTCTTAAGTAGGACTACACTGCAATGAATTCTGGGTAAATAAGACACCTTTTTTTTTTAGACTAGTCTAACACTATAGACCGGTCTGAAATAGCTTTTGAAACCTGCCCAGGCTCTAATTGAGACGTGTGTATTTGATTTAATTTATAATAATCTGAAGCTTTATGGTAAGTACATCTTCCACTGAGATTCTTATTTTAACTTTCACCAAATCACCTTTGCGTGTGAAAATATATTTAAATATGCAAATGAAAGGCTTCTTTGCTTATTTTTTCTCATGTTTCTTGCGTCCAGCTCAGTAAAACTTTTCTAGCCTTGCTGGTTGTGTATGTAAATGCATTTTCATGAAACTTTGCCCAGATGTTCCTCAAGAGGATGAGTCCTGACTTCAACGATGCTCCGACTTTTCTTCTAGCGCCACCGCGAGGTCGACATTTGTGGTTTTAATAAGTGAAATGTTCATTAGCCAACTGTGCTGAACTGCATGCTGGTTTTCTTCAACTTCTCTGATCAGAAAGCCCCCTAACGAGGTGTTACCTTCCGTGGACGTCCTGGATGTCACAGTGAGCTACCCACAAGTCCATCCATTTTAAATTTCTGGA